TTCCTGCTTTAGTGATACCTGGTGCACACCTTTTCCAGGTGTGAATAGACTGGTTTCCTCTTTTGAAAAAACATTCAAACATTGTCCAGACTGTAAGCTTCAAGACCAGAGAGTCCATCACCAATTAAAGCAAGGATCTAAGTGCAACTCTGTCATTTCCACCAGAACCAGTGCCAACAAGGTGGAATTCATGATTTAGTGCAGTTTGTTACCATGAAACTAATATTAAGTAGTAATATTGAATAATAAGTCTAATTAAGTAATAAGTATTAAATATCAAGTACTTGTGTGTGACAAGCTTGACATCACACCTGGCATGCAGTGCAAGCTTACAACGTTAAGTAAAAACTTTTCTTAAATACTTTTTTGACAAGGTCAGACCCACCTGAAGTACCATTGTAAAGAAGAAACAAAAATACAACAAGCCCAACACCGTTAAAGATACTTAAAGGAGAAGGTACCCTGTTTTGTGAGACTCATACTCTCAAAGAAAATAAAAAGGGAAATTAGGCTAGGCAAGTCCAAAAGACAAGATCTTCTCTTTGTTTATACTACCTGAGTTTATTTTTCTGATGTTTAAAGAAGATAATGGACATGATACTTACCTCCACTGAAGAAAGCATTAATTAGTAGTTGGGGGAACAAGCTTCTGTCATTTATTTCAGTCCAGGAGACGGTGATACCTAAGAACCGATAACTATTAAAAGAACCTTACCACAAAGAACACACTGTGAGTCTTCATTTTTTCCCATCAACCAGATCATTTTATGAAAAAGTTGAAAAACCTCAAGGAAATGGATCAGTACTTCGTTGTCTAATTAATGGTATTTAAGTTACATCCTTTTGGTAAAAACCCTTTAACAACAAGACGTGGCAGGAAAGATATGGATTCACCGCTGGAAAAAAAAGAACGAGGAATTATTTGGTAACTGGAGACCTAATCTGGGTGACTGTGGTTTACAAATGACAAGAGATTAGACTCATTCCACCACAATCAAGTTAAGTTTGTGGCTGAAAACCTGTGCCCAGGCTGGAAGCCCCCCATGGAAAAGGCACAGAGGAGGGAGAGGGTTGTCTCTGACAGAGGTATAACAAGCAATTTGGATGCCTGGGGCAGAGATGCTGCTGAGTGCTGGGGGGGAGGAGGGTGCCCTCAGTCTGAGCCCTGGCAAGTCACAGCACCCAGCCCTGTACTCCCCCTGGTATCTACTGGGACTAAGGCAATTTCTTTTCACAGTGCTTTTCCTGTTCAAAGCAGAGAGTGGCTTGGACAGTCGTTTGGGAGCTGCAGGCATGTTCATCGTGCTCGTGCCCCTGCTGCTGCTGCTGAGCTTCCTAATGTGTAAAGATAAGCATCGGCAGGCACTACTGTGAGTATGGCAGAGCCTGTCGTGCTTAATTGGCTTTCATGTGACATCCTTCCTGCCCAGACACAAGATCACACCCACTTCCATCCTTGTATGAAACTCGCCTCTGCTTCCTCCAGCTGCCGGACACTCTTGGTAGTAACTGGCAGGTGCAAAGGACCAGCCATCATCCCCTCTCCCAAGCCCTTCACAGCTGGTAAATGCAGCTGTCTCCTCGGGCAGTGAATAAGAGCATAAGAGCTGCCGTTGACTGGGTCAGACCCAAGTCCATCATGCCCAGTCTCCTATGTCACCCAGAGCAGACAGCAGAGGCTAAGAGGAGAGTGAGCAATCAGGGTTTTCTCCACTGTTCCTCTCTCGCTACCTACTAGTTTATGTTGTGCCTCCTAGTCCTTGTCTAGTGAGAGACACTCAATAATATACCCCTAGTGACTTTCTCTTCTCCATTTAGCAGGGAGAAGAGAAAGAAGTATAAACCCTTATGTTCCCACGCAAGCATCTCTTTTCTAAACTTAACATGCCTGGCCTCGTTAGTCTCTACCCTCCATACCATTAATCATCCTTGTTGCCCTCCTCTGGCCCATCTCTAACTCTTCTATATCCTTTTGGAGATGTGGGGACTACAACTGGGTGCAGTCTTCAAGGTGTGGACACATCATGGATTTTAAAAAGGGCATCGCGATACTTTCAGTTTTGTTTACAGTTCCCTTCCTAATAACCCCTAACATTTTATTTGCCTTCTTGATGGCCTCTGGCCCTCCTAACCCAGGAGTGGGCAGTTATTTGGGCTGGAGGGCCATATGGTGAGTTTTGGTGAGCTGTTGAGGGCCATGCACATAAAATTTAACAACAGCTATACTTAAAAATCACTATGCAGTTCCCAACACACAGAATCACCATATTTCCACACATGAAACTGTTCCTAAATCACTATTTTCCAGCATAAAAATCACTGTATTTCCAGTGAAGTTCCCAAATCACCACACCAAATGACTCATCCTTCCCAGGACTCGCTCTGGCCCTTGTGTTTGGGACGAGCCCCTGGCGCTGCATCCCAGGGCACGGCCCTGCAACTCCATGCGCTGCGATGCACCCGCCTGCTAGACCCGCTGCTTCTGGGCGGGGAAGGCACTGATCCGGGATAAATCCACACAGGCTTAACCCGGCGCGAGTGATGCTGGGCCCAGGACAGGCCGCTCCTCTGCTGCAGCCGCATCAGCCCGTTCACTTGCCCCAGACTCGTGAGCAGTGAGACAGCAGCCCCGCGACGAGGTGGCTGCCACCACTGCCGGGGAGCAGAGGGCTGGAGCCCCGCGGCAGGACCCAGCCCCGAGGAGCAGGGAGAAAGCCCCAGCGAGCCCTTGTTCGCGGCTCGGAGAAGCAGGAGCGGGCCGGCTGGCCTGGCCGCGGCCCCCCCCGGGGGTAACACGGCTCTGCTTGTTTTCAACCCAGACACCAAACCTGAGCCCCAAGCCCTGAACGGGGAGAAACTCCCCGCGCCTGCGGTTTGACAGCTGAAGCCATCCCCGCTGCATGCAGAGATCTGCTTCTTGCTGTGACTGCCCTGGGTTGATGGTCTCAGACCAACACGGCTGCCAAGTACATGGAAGATGCCAAATTTCAGCCGATTTTGGATTTTAAACTTCATTGCAGAACAACAAGGAAGGGGTTTTTTGCCTCCCTGCCTACCATCGGACACCTTCAGGGAAGGAATTCTACCTGATCAACACATTGAAAAGCTACTCAACACAGCTCACAAAGACACTCTCGTGGACCCAGAGGGACAGACCTCCATCTTCAGCTCCCTCTGGGCAAAAACAAAGTTTCTTTCCTACCTAGGGGGACTTTTTACCATCTTGTACCATCTACACTTTTCCCAGAGCCTGATGAAGGGACTTTGATCCCAAAAGCTTGCAGAAAAGGACAATTTTCTTGCCTTTTTCCAGTTGGTCTAATAAAAGGTATCCTTTTGGAACCACGAGTTCTAGTTTTTTTTATGTCTGTTTGTCTCAGACCAACACGGCTACCAAGTACACCCCTGACAAATGAAGAAACCAGAATTTACCTCTACAGCAGTGGTTCTCAACCTTTTTTGGACCAGGACCCATTTGTAAACATTAACAGCCAGTCCCAACCCAGTTCCCCACATCCTAGTGTGTGGGGCAGGGGGTGGGTGTGTGGGGCATGGGGGGTCCCAAGCAGCCCCTCACCGGCTGGATCTCTGCCAGCCTACAAGGGGAAAGCCACGCTTTCCCACACTTTTCTTCCTTAAAGGATTATCCATGTTTAAAGTTTGTTTGCGACCCTTTCATATGTTCTTGGGACCCACTTTTGAGTCGCCACCCACAGGTTGAGAAACACTGCTCTAGAGATAAAAGACAACTTGGAGACCTTTCAGGGCTAAAGGCTACCTTGAATGCTGGGGCCTCACAAGTCTCCATATTGAATAGTTATCAGATTGGGGGGGGTTCTCCCAAAAACTATTATATGTGCAAAGATAATATTCATATTTATATATAAATATGAATATTAGCTTTGCAAAGATTAAAGAGAAAACATGTCTTGCAGATTTTTTGAAGATTGACGCTTTTCAGCTATTACATAGGTCTGCTAACTTCTTGCACGTGCTGCTGGCTTTGCTGACCAAGCTCTGGCTGTCTCAAAGGCATCTTATTTAAGAAGCCGAATGGCAGCCCAGGTATTGTAGGGATAACAGCCCTGCCAGGAGCAAGGCAGGGGTCTGGAGCAGAGAAGGAGGTGCAGGAAGGCTGCAGTTGGAGCTTTGCTGTGTGACGGTGGAGGAATCTCAGGCTGGAGACAGCGGTCCATATCTCACTTAGCCTCAAGGTGGGGATGTAGCATTCAAAATCAGCAAATGATGCTGCGGGTGGCTGCTGAGCCAAAATGTCTTCCTCCCCAGGGACGTTCTCTGCTGTCACAAGCGAAGTGAAGTGGGTGTGTTACAGGGGTTTGCTGGGTGCTCCATGGTCACTGCCCTGTGCAGGCTCTTACCCTGCAGGACAGTCTGCTCCTAATTAAAGCAATAGCCTTGGGGTTCGAGTGGGCTGTGGGGTGGGAGGGAAGCTATGCACTTAGTCAAACTGAATACAAACGGTGCCCTTCCAGCTCATGCCCTGGCACTGCTGAGACACGAGCAGCCCCAGACTCACCCTTCCCCATCATTTACAGGGTGCTAACAGTCAAGTTTCAGGGTGGTCCTTGGAAGGCTGAGATATGATGGGGAGAGGGCCCGTTTCACAGCCGTGAGCTCCTGTCGACATCTAGGTTTCCTCACAGCTGCCCTCTGCCAGTGCCCACAGGGAGCCAGAGTCCGGCCCTGTTACAGGGCAGACCCGGGGACAGGAAGAGGCAATGCTGTTGAGCTGTTTGTGCTCATATCTGATGTGCAGATAATCTGCTTGCTATGCATTGGGGATTAAATTAGGCCCATCCTAGTGTTATGTGGGTAAGGGAATTATTTATTGAAAGAATATGTCAGGGGCCAGAAGCTTTGGTTAGTCTGGGCAGAGCAATTCACAGTCATGCAGTGGGAAAGGCAGGACGCCCCCTCTTAGGACTGC